CAGACGTGTGCTCTTCCGATCTCCCCAAAACCCCAAAACCCCGAGTCTATTAAATCTCATGAAAAGCGAGAGTAACGTATAAATTAATAACTAAGAGAAAATATAGGGAAGAACTCATAAAACAAAAGGGCTAATTATATAAGACCATTTACTCGGTCAATAAGAAATTTAGTAATTGAGGGATATGATTTGAGCGGTCCTATCGATCTATAAATAACCTCAAGATTTTGATTTACCTGATGTCTACAATCTATTAGCCATTATACTCATGGGATTCAGCAAAGCGGATGAGTGATTATTATCTGGGGAGAAACTGTTTCTCTAGGAGGAAACTTGGTTTATTATCTCTTATTTTTGCTCTCTTTCCATTTGAAGTTTGGTTTAAATCTCAGTCATCTATGAATCAGTTATATTTTAGATCTTAGCAAGTGATAACTACTTGAGAGTCTATTTAGCTTTTTCACTAACAGCACTGTTATTGTATGAATCTGTAAGATAAGCTATCTATTATTCAGGAGTCATCTATCTTAACTGCATTTCTGCATCTTAAATGATTCTCTCAGGGGAATCTAAGTTATATTCAAGTTCCTCTACTTGATTCTAATGATGCCCTTGATTATGATTGCCAATATGATGCTCATCATCTTTGATTTCATTTATCATCTAATCTTATTCTCGCTATGATTCGAACTATTATTGAAGTTGCTGCATGAGCATCATATTATCATGCTGTTTTCTTTTCTTTTATTCGCTTTCTATGTAGTAAGCGATTGTAACGTGGCTTAGATTTTTAGAATACTTGGAACTTTAAAGAAGCTCAGCAGAACTAATTGGCTCTACATTTTAATTGCCAAGGAGCTAAGTCTATAACAGAAGTTATGTGTAAGGACTAAATTTCAATATATCAACATTGTTTATGCCAAGATTCGGTAATAGATCTTAAAGATCATAATTAGAATTCGTAATTGTCTACTATAATATTTGCTATCTAAGGAATTGTTCATTTTGGGTATTCAATTGGCTTTATTGCTATTATTATTGCTACTACTACTACTACATATATTACTGTAAATATTAGATTAGATTTAGCAATTATGGGCTTTCTTGATTCTCTAATTAGCATTGTAGCAATATTTTGAGAAGCTGGTTATTTTAATTCTATGTAAATTACTCTCCCATATCAAAGCCAGGAGTTTAGAGCAACTACTTAAAATAATCTTCAATATCACCGCCTTCTATAATCTACTACTAATTTTCTAGATCTTAAAGAGTAAGCTATTAACTTTGCCCTCTAAACTCTTCAAATTTGTAGAGATCTGAAGCTTTCTTCGATGATTTTGAGGATTTACCTAAATTTGCTGATGATTGTTAAGTTTCATTCTTCTTTTGATATTAGAATTCGCCTCTAAATTATTATTCATGAAAGAATGTTACCTCAAAACTTAAGTTTGCTGCAATTAAGCCTTGATAGGCTACTAAGATTTTTTGCTGACTTTAAGGAGATTTTAAGACTATTTTTTTGGCGGATAAATTGCTTATTAGTGAGCTAGTTATATTATCTTAAATAAGCTCATTGCGGACTTTTCAGCATCATCAGACATATAATCAATCTAATTTTCTTCATCAAGCACTTCTAGATTCTTTCTAGTTAAGGTTTTCCCTTTTTTTCCTGGCTTTTAAATTTGAGGCTGTTTAGGTGCTAACTTTTCAGGTTCAACCTTAGTTCTTTTCTTTGATTATAATTAAGTCGGGGCTATGCATTTTTTAGTGACTTTCGGGTTTTCTAAAAAGATTTAAGATTCTATTGCTTATCAAATGCTCTTTTTGAATCTATTATTCATAGATACAAAGCAGAAGATCCAAAACTATGTGAGAGAAAACTTACCTTCATTTGCATTAGCTTACTGTCCGTTATCAGATGAAGAATCTTGAAAATCACTTATTTCTTCCCTGAGTCTCTTTTATCCAACATATTGAGATGTTTACGCAATATTTTAGGTCTAAATCTTAAAAGTATGTTAAAGTTTTGATAGTAATTATTCACATACCTTTGGAGCTTGTTTGCCTTTAGGATTTGCCTAAGATTTCATCTGAAGCGCTTAAGGCTTAGCTACTACATTGGTATTCATAGACTGTATCGTCGGAGGTTGCCTTTTTGGCTTAATTTCTGAAATCGCTGCTCCCTAATATTCATTAATACTCATCTATAATATAGAGAGGCAGACTGAGAAAGTCTTTTGATCTAATAATGGAGAAGACTTACCTTATCGGAAAGGACTGAAGAATCGTTGCTTTTATTGTTGTTGTCTTGTATTCTCTTGATTTCCTCTAGTATTTCTTCCTTATCTGCAGCACCCTAATGTACTCCATCACCTTTTCCAGTATTTCCCGCTTTACCTTATGTCAACTGGCTTCCTATTTATCATCATTATCATTATTTATAAGAATTTTACTTGTTGCCATCTAAGACTCAACAGGAGATGGCTTGGGCTTTTTACGCTCCTCAGTGGCTTAAGATTTCATTCTGGTTTGCATTTTGAAATGCTTAATTTTATATATTAATATTTTAGAGGTAACATTAAAGCAAAGGACTTTAATGCATTATAATCGCAATTAAAATATAAGGTTCACTTTTAGTTCTCATTTGCAATTACAATCAATAAATTTAATTTAAAGTCTACTAACTCGTTAATTTTCAAATTTTCACCAACCTGGGGTTTTGGGGTTTTGGGGTTTTGGGGTTTTGGGGTTTTGGGGTTTTGGG